AAATGTATTCTTTTTTCTTTATGATTGTTATAGTTATTACTTATTAGTTATTACATAAATAATAGATCTACATCTACCTCCGATTTTATCAGAAAATTTTAACCTTCTCCTTCAAAATTCAGATTAATTTTAGGTGGGCACATTTATACCGATAGGGGCAAATATATTTTAGGGCAAGGGATGCTGTAGCATCCCAGCATCCCAGCCAGTCCGCGCCTGAATATATAGGTATTTTTTTCTTTTTTTTTGGCATAAATTGTAATTAGTTTTGATATGTTTAAAAAAAATGCAACAGATTTTTAACCAAGTTTAGTTACTTTCTTTCTATTTAACTTGTAAAAGTTACAGGTTCAAAATTAAATTTACTTTAAATTTTCAACTTAAGTGTTTAAAAAAGTTAGTTAACTCGCCCAACTATGTACTATGTGTAAAAATAAATTATTTGATAGGTGTTACCATAATATTTTGTTTGTTTATACATTGATAACCTTTTTTAGAAATCATGGAAAATTCCGAATTTTGATTAAATTCTATGTCTGATGTTTCCCATCTAATATAATTAGAAGACAAAAATTAGTTATTAAAATCTTAAATCTTATGACTATGCAGTGGACACTTACTGAGAATAATCATAAGATTGACTCATTGGTCTTATTGAAGTACTTCCTCTTAAACTACTAGGAGGATAATCATTTGATTCTAACTCGCTGTCTGTACTTCCCTGTACATATAAAACTAGTAGTATTTAATATTTTAATTTACATTTTAATAAAAGTAACAAACTTGGTCTAAATAGATGATTCGTTTTACTTTGCGTGAAGATATTTTTTTAGTAACATTTATTTTACGGCCATCACTATCTTCAGTGATAAAACTATCCATAAATACAGTCTCAGGTTCAATACATTTCTCTATAACTGTTACGTTTTTTGTTGTTTTTAATTCAGTATTATCACTTTCAATTATAACTTGGTTCCTAAAATAAATTAGTTTCAAATTTAAATAAATAATTATACACAATTTAAGTTTCTACTAATGTATCGTTAATTATTATGTATATACTCAAAATTTTCATTTTCTATGACATCGTCGTCAACTTCACAGTAAGATTCAAGTTCTGGATTCTAATTTAAAATTTAAAAAAATTATAAAAAATATATTAGAACTAAAAATTTCAACACATACCTACTGGCTGCTAGCTTATCAGTTATCATACTCAGTAACAGGTAGGTACTTACTTTTAAACTAATTTGTTTATTCTTAGGTTGACTAGTTGATGGTGTAGCATATTCTGTATTAATATTTGTATCATCTAATAAAGACATATCCATAATATCTTTATCAGATTCTAAGGAATCATCTCCGTTACTTTCATTATTTTTCTGTTTCACTTCTGTGTTAAATAAATTTGAATATAGGCCATTCTTTGACATCAAGAAATTGTGTGTTCCAGATTCTACTATACTTCCATTCTACAAAATTAAGTTTATAATTATATCTGTATCATAAAATGATATAAATATATGTAATTAAATGTAATACTTGTAAAACAAAAATAACATCAACATTTTTTATTGTGGACAGTCTATGAGCAATAATAATTGTGCTTCTATCCTGTTGAGCTTTATCTAAGGTTTCTTGTACAATGCCTTTACTTAGTGCATCTAGTGCTGAAGTAGCTTCATCCAATATTAATATTTTTGGATCTTTGACCAGAGCTCTTGCGATGGCAATTCTCCGTTTCTGACAACCAGAAAGTTGAGAACCTTTGTTTCCAACTAATGTATCATAACCCTGCACAAGTTTTGTTTATAATATGTCCAGATCGGTCAGAAAGTAAGATTATTAGGTTAATATGTACACTATTTTAACCTTAGGTAATTTTATGATGAAACTATGGGCATTTGCTGTCATTGCAGCAGCTATAATATCTTGTCGAGTACAATCTGTTTGACCGTATCTGATGTTATCAGCAATAGAAACACCAAATAACACTGGTTCTTGCGATACAACTCCAATGTTTTGACGAAGCCAATGTACATTTAAATATTTTAAATCAAAATTGTCTAACAATACCTAAAGAAAATAAATATTTATCAGCAGGTATTACTTTAGTTTTATATACTTGAAAGAATACAATTTTTCTTACTTGGCCTTCTGTGGGATCATAGAAACGTAGTAACAAACTTCCAACTGTGCTTTTACCACCTCCACTAGAACCTACCAATGCTACAGTTTGCCCAGGTTCGATTGTTAAAGATAAGTTATTCAAAACCTTTAATTTAACAATTAACAATAAATTATTTTATTATTAATGTAGAATAATATCTACGACAGTAAACTATGTATTAGTAAAGTGCTTTATACTGTACTAGTAATTCATGTGACTTACTGGTATAGAACGTCTTGTTGGATATGCAAAGTTAACATTTTTGAATTCAATTTTTCCTTGAATTTTATTTATTTTCTTTCCTTGAGTTGAATAAGGATCAATATTTGGTCTACTATCAATTATATCAAATACATTTGATGCTGCTCCAATTGCTATGCTTACTGAATTTATAAATGGCAAAGCATTTCCCACAGAAAACGCCCCAGCCATTACGCTAAAGAATACCTGGTTTACATTATTTATCGTTATTTATACTATGGACATTTAAGCTAAGCAACTAGATATTGATTCATTTTTGAACTAGATACCGTGAAAATGCTACCAGGTGATGAAATTCCATCAACAATTAAATTAGATCCATACCAGAATGCTATTCCATATGCTGAATACATTATCACAAATATAGAACCCAATAATATTGAGAATACATAGTATTTTTTCATGGCTAATTTTCGACCTTTGTCTATAGCCATCTCATATCTATAACATTGGTTTGTATTGAAATTTTTAAAAGAATATTTCTTTAATATATATATTATATGTAATAAATATTACATTTAACCTACCTTTTAGATTCTCTAAGTTCTCCTCCAAATGCTGCTACTGTCCTAATATTTAATAAGACCTCTTTAGCTATACTTCCAGCTAAACCATATTTAATTTGCTCTCTAGCAGCTGTACTTGCTGAAATCTATGATAAAATAAAATAAATTTCCATAGCACTAGGTAGGTACTTTAAATCAAACACATTACTATAGCTAGAGCTCCAGAAACTACAACTAAAAATGGTGTGACACAAAGTATGATCGATGTTAATCTCCAATTGACACAAAGACCAATTACTATACCAGAGAAAAGAGTGCTTATGTACTGAGTAACCATGCTGAATTTACTGCCAATACCTTCACGAACTCTTTCCAAATCACTAAAGAAAAAAATTCATTTTTATATTTTTTATATATTAGCTATGTATTAGTTGTAATTTTATACTCTGATAATTTTGTTGTCAAGTCTTCACCATCACTTAAGTCGTACCAACTCATTTCTTGTCTAAGGATTTGACAATAGAATACTTTCCGCAATCGGTGAATTTGTCTTTCACAAGCAATCTCCCAACAGAAAGACTAAAAAAGAAATTATTTTTTAGTAATGGGTAATAGGTTATACTACAGTGGTCGCCGCTTATTGGACTCACGGTTAATTGACTCATTCGCATATTAGACTCAAAACGGTTGGTCCCGATTCGCACGGTTAGGTTAGGTTAGGTTTTTGAGTCATTCGCCTTATTGACTCATTCGGTTAATTGACTCAAATTGTCGGGTCCCAAAGTGAGTCCAATAAGCGGCGACTACTGAATATCTATCTGCCTAGTAATGATTAAAAATATATAATTACTTAAGTATTTATAAGTTATAACCAAATAGGTTACATATAAATTACATATATTTATACTATAATACCTATAATTTTTCAAAAATATCTTACTTGTATAAATGCAGAAATTAATACTGCGCATCCAATGTATAAGTAATACAATGAAAACTTAGTCATATAGTTATAAAATTCTTCCGGACTTAAAGCTTCATCATTAAATTGATTTGGAATATCTGTTGTTTTGCTGAGATTAAAAAGTATGTTAAAATAATAATAATAAAATTGATAAATACCTAAGTTATTACTTATTATACCTTTAAACCACTCACCTCAAATCCATTTCTGTAATAGTTTTAACAGTACTCATTCTTTCCATTTCAGACATAAAAAATGCACCAAATGTAGAACTCTCATCATTTAAGGATGAATTAGTTGATACATCATTTGAGAGAAGAATATTTGTATAATTATTTGTTGAATTAAATGGATTAGCGTGTATGAGATCTAAGGCATTTCCAACCACTGGTATATTGACCAGTGAGTTATTTTCAGTGGAAGTAACCTGTAGGTAAAAACAGACGATGCAGGTAACTCACCTATATGGTAAAAGGTTAAGCAAAATGTACCTACACGGCTTCAAGGTAATATACACCTACAGGCTACAGGTATATCGTATATAAGATATGCTAGAAGCATACCTAGATGCTTCACAGACTTATTCAATTTTAAAGAAAAATTTTAGTTACCTATTTAATAATTATAATTTATTTATAAATATAAATCTGTCTATCCGATAAAGCATTATCGGGGTTCTGGTAAGTATTGAACACTTTTTTTGAAAAAAACAGTATTCCATTCACTTTTCATTTACAATTCTATATAATTATATATGTATTAATCATATGATGAGCTTTGTTATAATATTTGAACGAGTCACAAATAATTAATAAATAATAGTTTATAAGCAATGTAGATTGTAGTTAGATAGAATATCAAAATTGAGGTGAACATAATAGGTACGTGTTGACTTATTGTTGTTACTTGATAAATCAAATCGAAGAATAAAAAGTTTGCCCAGCTAGAGAACTGACCAGAGCGGTTGTCAATTCTACAGATATTTTTTTATTAGGGTAAAAAAAATTAATTTAAACTAGTTTTTTTGACCTTAAATAAAAATGAACATTATGTAGGTAATAAGTATATTTTTATTATTATTTACATACATATTTATTTTGTAAATAGGTATATCTATATTTGTATAGGTATACTATATATAGATACTATTTACTTTGTTAAGTTTTTATATTTACAAAATTAAATTATTTTTAACAAGACATGCCTACAAAAAACTATGTAGGGTACTGTATATAAAGCATAAGTCATAAAACAACACAAATGGCTCTATTTTTCTATCTGTGTACATTATACACAGGTATCTAATATAAAATAGTAGGAACCTAAACACCGTTATTTTATCAACAAATGTTTTTTTTTACACATTACTTACTGATGCTTGCTTGATAAATACATTGGTCATTTGGCCAAATACCAATGCCAAGACAGGAAAGCTCGATCCATGAATAGCCGAGCATATAACACCAATAGACATAAGAACCACATCACCTTTGCTAGCATATCGAAACTAAAAAATAAACTTGAGTTGGTTAAGTGGAACTTTGTTACTTTACCGGGCACCCGTTTTTTTGCAATTTTTTTTTAAACTTATATGTAATTGGTTTTAGGTATTGAAGACGATGATGAAGTCAGAATTTGGCAGTCGGACCTATAGTTTCGAAGTTATAGCCTAAATAAAATTTTTGATTCTGTGATTTTTAAATACTATAAGCATTTGCACAACGCTCTACTACTTCGCTTACTTCGCTTTTAATTGTATTTGCGCTGTACTAAGCTATAATAACCATTTTTACAATTATTTTCGGGTAGACAACAAGTCCAATTGTCAAACCGGAGGTTCCAAGGACCTCTCGTAATCTTACCAGTTACAGTGTGAAAAGTACCTATATTAACTAGTGACCTATCGGCTCCGGTCGCCAAACTCGAGATCCTACGACCTACAGTCCTCTCGGTTGGGCGGTCAGCCTCCAAACCCCTCGGGGATGGAAAAAGACAACTTGGGTGGGGGTAGGCCCCTTCGGTGTCTGGAGGAGGGAAGAGTTGGGTGAGTGCAGACCTAACCTATGTAAGCTATGTAATCAGGTAACTTAAAGAGTGATTTAATACCTAGGTATATAGTTAGACCCCTATACCTAAGGACCGCTCACTATGCCCATCAACTTCAGCCTCCAGTCGCAAAACTTAGCTCCAACAGTTTTTCGACTGGACTTCAACGTCAAAATTGAAAATTTAATATGTCACAGCCTCACAGGTCTAAATAAAAAATTATTTTTTAACCATTACCAAAAGTTTAAATCATGAAAAATGTATTGTGTTTCGAGTGAAGCCTTACTTAAAGACAAAACTATAATAATAGAACCATTATTTTGTGCTTCTACCATTTCCGTGAGCGAAACGCAAATAAAATGAGGCAAGACAGACGAGTAAGGAGTAGGTATACCGTGTGACGTGGGTGGTGGACCGCGTGGTATAGACGAACAGCCCACATCAGTCATATTTAACTATAAGTCGTTCGGTTGATGAATTATATTATGATGAGTTATGAAAACAGTGGCGCATTGGGGCTGAACTCACATATCATGTGAATTGTGAAGCGATTCCTTTACTTCTCAAATCTAGACGATTGTGAAGTGTGAAGTTGTTGTGGGTGGGCGGGTTATTGGATACAAATTTAAGAGTTCGGCGTCACTGTATGTCTATATGATTAATGAATTTAAAATGTAATATGTTCGAAACCCATATACCTACTGCACTACTGCAGTAATTATTGATCGATTCTTCAGGTAATAGTACATTGCGAATATTATAATTAGGTAATTGAGCCATAGTGCGCCAAGCGCCAATACCACAGTCTACATCAAACTTCTAACAGCCTTAACTTCGAAACAAGTCCGACCGCCAAGTTCTGACTTGACCATAATTTTCAGTATAACACTAACAACATAAAATAAAACGAAAAAAAGTGGTGTCTGGTAAAGTAACGAAATGTCAAACTCGATATCCAACAATCAATAGGTATTCAATACATGGATAATATTAGGTAGGTACCTATAAACTATATGCACAATGTCGTATATTATATTATGTATATAATAGCATGGCGGCGTATAAAAATAACTTGGCGCTTGTATTTATAATTTCAAGGTTAGGTCAAGTAATATTACAATATAAACAGATTCCACTGAAACCAGTTTTAAATGTTCTTATACTAATATACGTGAGTGCCGAGTGGTGGGCGGCTGATGAGCGCACATGACGTGAACAACTATCACAGTTTGCACTGTTTGCAGTCGTCTGCACTCTGCTGTCTGCTGCGCTGAGAGTCTGAGACCTGAGTGGCCGTTAGTGTGTGTGGCTGTGTAGCTGATGAGAACCGACTGTGTGGTGTGTACAACTTGTGTACGTATTAAGTACATATAGCTATTACATCATTACGTAGTTCAAAGCCTTAACCTCGTCTAACCCATTATGACATTATATACATAGTATATAACTAATTTTAAATATAAAACCAATGAATGAAAAATAAAGTAAAATGTTGGTTGATTAAAAATAATTTATGAATATAAATAGAGACGTGTTAAAAAAAAATAAAAACGTTATGAAATAATTATAAAGCACTTCGAATTTTGAAAAAGATGTTATAATTAATTTTTTTTAACTTTTAAATTGTTATTAAAATTGACTTGTACAGTTGTACTTACCAGGCCACCGAATGAGGGTTTTTTCTTTAATTGCTTTCCTACAGTTCTAAAACAACATTTAAAAATTTTAAAAATACATAGTCACATATTTACATGTCAAAATCAAATTTTAAAAACTGCTCAATAAAGTACAAAGATATCCAATAAACGATTAATATATTGATCTCAAAGTGATAACTACCAGAAAAAAAATATTTGAAAAATCATAATTTACATATAGTAGGTACTAGGTACATATTATGAATTTATGATGTTAATACAAGGACCTACGCAAATAACAATTTTCATATGAAAAAATGTACAGAAATATCTACTTTCAGACATTTTGGTATACATATATATATATTAATATATTAGATACCATATATACCTATATATATATATATAATATATATACTCGACAATAAATTATGTAACATTTTATACCACCTTAAATTATGAATCGCCAAATTAATTAATTTAAAAAAATCTCACAATGGTTAATGAAATCTCAATAAACGAATTTACCGAATTTAGAAAAACCTTTTTGTTGTATAAATGTCAAATCTTAAATACTAGTTTCAGAATTGTTTTCTCTACTTATTGTACCTTCTACTTTACTGTACATAGTACATTTACTATGAATACAATAATATCTACTGTATATTTATGTACTTATAAGTTATGACTTATAAGTTATAATGTAATTTAGAACTCCTGGGCACCCATACGAGTTCTCTCAGTGGGGCCTAGGATCTAAAAAAATTTAATTAATTATTATTTCTCAGTAGTTTTTTCAATGAAAGGAAAAATGTCCTACAGACATAACCGTAACAAATCTAAATAAATGTCAGTAAACCGCAATTTACACAAAATGTGCGATCTTCTCAGAACGATTTTTCTAATATAAAATATGAAAATGAATTTACCATAATCTTCAAATTCGTAAAAAATAAACATAAACGTAAAATTAACAATATATTATCCGCTTCTTAACTATCCTTTAAGTTGAGCAATAAAGGAGACAAATGCCAAATTCCAGAATGAATCCTACGTATTCATCTTTGCATCTTAACAGTCTAAATTAATTTTTAATTTGTATAATATTATATTTAAAGGTTTGTAGTTTTGTACGATAAGAAATAACAAGTAAAATTACATAAAATAAATTATTATCAGTAAAATATGCTTGCTCTACCGATAGAAAACATAGATAGGTATTATAGGTACCAAAATATAAGATATTTGTATACACAATTACACAAACGTCACATACTATAATTTATAGGTACACACTACACTACTACAGGAACATCTTGGATAGTACTGTTGACCTTATACTTTATAGGTTATCACTTTATCAGCTTTATTTCAAAGATTAAACTATAATGGATATTGAAATTATTACCATAGATTACAAAATATAACAATTATTACGACTGACACTCTGTATAATTCAGTAGTTGTCTTATTTATCTGAAATGAACATGATTTTTAAACGAGATTTTTATTATTAAAATATAAATTATAGCCTATAACAGTATTAATAGGCACATGCCACATTATGATTTATGACTTATGACTTTTATGACTGGTAGGTACGTAGGTACATTTAATATTGGTAGAATTAGTATTGGACCAATGACCTGATTTTGGCCTTATTGGGGTCTTATAATATATAACTTATTAATCAATGATTGTCGTCATAATTTATTGAAAACTTCAGAATAAAAGTATAAAATGTATCTACCATTTGAATGTTATTTCACTCAGTAGTTGCACAAAAATGTTATCTTGTGAAATAAAAACAGTTTTTAGTGCGTAGGTATTATTATATTTATGTATATGATGTAGGTATATACATATACATTATTACAGTAAAATTTATTATTATATTGTTAACTAGGTATTAAAGTATGTACAGTACAATGTGTTAACTTGCACAGTTTTATATCACATATGAATATTTTTAAAATAAAAAATATGTTGTAAAATATAAGACTGGAAACTATATTTAATAAAAATAAAAAATAAAATAATTGGAGTGCATATATATATGTATATAGGTATATACATTATATTACGCCATATTACGGCATATTACCGTACACTCGGTACAGAATATAAGAAATTATTATAATAATAAAACTGGTTATAAACAAAATCAATGGTAGGCACCTAGTACCTACTACCTACTTAAGAGGACTCTACACGCGATTCTGAATAATCCATATAACTCTGTATAATGTTTAATGTTACAGTGAATTAACAACTTATTATCAAATTTAATTGTAAATTGATTGTACATTTTAATACATTCATTGCTCATATCTCGCTGTAAAATTAAAATATAAAAAAACTATATGATTAATTAGATAATATTGTATTTACTAAATTTAATTATAGGTCAATCGTTAATTCTCTCTAATATTAAACATAACAGAGTTAAATAGATTATTCAGAATGACGAATGTATAACTTGCTACGTTATGCGTCTAGGGGACCGGGACAGCTTCTTAATAAGCGTCCACAGAATATATAATACGAACAGTTAACAAATCTCGGGAGATGGCTCCACAAGCCACCTTACAGATGCTTTTGCTTATTGTTGGTCATACTTATACATACTCACTTTTCATACATAATAATTGTTATTATGAGAAAGCTGACAATATAGATACTACTATTAACTTACCCATATTTTGTATTCCCATCTAGTTTATTGGCTGAAACTTTTAATAATCCAACTGTTTCTTCATTATTTTTACTGAACATGGCAAGTCAACTGAACAAAACTAAGATTTAAAGCAAATAACAAATACACACTTCTTTACACAATATTGTTTTTAATAAACATTTAATCGATAAGTGTAGGCTAGTTGCCCAATCAATGCCAAGTTAAATAAAAGTAATTTACCCGGCTTATTACTAATTACAAGTACCCATAATAAACTGAAATAACTGTGAAAGTGTGAAAGCGTGAACTGTAATGATGCGAACAGCAAATCGTGTATTCGTGTAGTTCTCAGATTATAAACTGACTGTCTGAGAGTTAGTCGGAGCACATGCTGTAGGTGTACCTATAGTTGTTGTATATATGTACGTTCAGCTTATTATAGCGTGATTGGTTACATTTACTTCAACAGTCCCACTACCTACTGCTTACTAAATCCTAATCTTCCTCATACTGGAAATTATACAGTATTGAGCATTATAATTAATTTATTCAAGAATTCTCTTAAAAATACTATAAAATATATTAACTTTTATTATCTCATTATGTTACATACCATAAACATCCTAATAAAATTTACAAATTAGATAATAATATTATTTACTATATACCTATCATATGATTCAAATCGACAGAATGTTAATGATGATGAATGATGATTAAATCACAGATTATATTAAACAAATAAAACAATATAAAACAATTTAATATAATCTGTGATTAAATGTTGAATAATTATAAATTATATGCCGACTACAGGGGCAGCTCCTGCAGAGCAGGCTTCGGGTCCAAATTCGAACAAAAAATATCTGTTTATTCTTTTCTTATTTTGGTTACAGTATGAACAATTTATGATAAATCATGTTTTAAATATTCAATCTTTACCTTTATAAAAATATACTATTTTAAAGATTTTTAAATACAAAATAATGATGAATTTCGTTAAAATTAGAACTTTAAAACATAGGTGCAATTTGAGCTAAATTTATGTCGACTAAAGTTGACATTCATTCCCAATCATTAGACCAACTTTTTAAAGCCCCTGCAAAATATATAAAAATTTTTACTAGAGCGACCTTATCGACTAACAAAAATGAAGGTACCTACTTCTAATGGTTCAATTTAAAAATATAAACATTTTTGATTTGGTAAAAAGTTTAGCTCGCATTAGTCAAAGCATATATCATCTATACATTATACATACATCTTTAATAATTTATTCTTTTTTTGAATTCGATAAAATTGAAAAGTGTTCCGTTCAATGCAAATTATAAAGTAGTATATTGTTTATGAGTTCAAACATTACATTACATTCCTTAATCGGATCATTGGAAGTAGCCAAGTAGGAACTTACAATTTGGTCAGGCTTATATAGCTATTTAAAGTCCATACATTTATTTTGAATGTAATGACTATTACATGAAATGTGCATGAGGTTGTGTGATATGTATGATGCGGTTGATTATGGGGGGAAGTATACACATAATAATGATCATTTATTGGTACTATTATAATATTGATGTGGATTGGGAATATTTCCAAAAGAAAGAAATATTCAATTGGAGATTTATCGGAAATATTTCCACAGCAAATTTTTCCTTTTTAAATTGGAATTTTATTTTCATTGTATTGGTCTACGTTGTTAGAGGTTCACTGGATTAATTTATATGACTGATAGGAAGGAACTAACATCATAACATTGAAAATGTGTTACTCTTTTAATATGTTTTTTCTAAAGAAAACTAATATTTTAACAGATATATTTTCTTCAATACCTAGAAACGTTTGTGTGGAAGATATTATAGTAATAAAGAAGATATTGACTAAAAAGACATAGGTAATTTTTCAATTTTTATTCAGAAAAGTATTACATACTAAAACAGTTAAACAACTTATGAGAAACGTTGTACTAAATTGTCAAACATTTTGACCTACTGAACCATTTTTTATCGATATTTACAATAGCAAAAAAAAAAAACTAAAACAATTGAAAATGATTATATAAATAGTTCATAAAGATTCAATCATGTATCATATAAAATGATAATTTAGACAATCTTAGCTCAGTATTGTTTTTTGAATGCAATGATTTAGCATTGAATTCAAATTTAACACATTATCAACTACACTGACTGTCTCGATATCTATTTTACTGCACTACCTACAAGACTAAGAAGGTATTAAGTGTTCAGCTGAGTGGACCTATTAGACACATTTTCAGATATCTCCTCTCTATAATCGCCGACCACATATATTATATAGCATAAACCCCGTAAGCTGACCCCGTCATCGTTAGATATTTTTCTCGCTAAAGCGAACATTTTAATGCCTCTCTTCTTTACTGGTATTTATTTAATTTTGCCGCGTACTGTTTCTTTAAAATTGTATGCCACCCTAAAGGAACGCCTCAAACGCATGACTTGCTTGGGCGTGCCCGTAAGGTACAAATTCCAGTAAAAATGTTTACACCGAACAAGTGCATCTCCTCATACCCCCGATAGCATAGGCATAGACGTATTTTATGTTTATAATATATAAATATTTAATTGTATAAATGATAAATAACTGTAGTACTTACAGTAGTATAGTTAATAATTTATAATTACTTATTACTTTATGCGAATTGATATTTAATATTGTTACTCCCGCCATCCCAGTCAGGTGAATTGGCGGCATATTCGAACTGATGATATCTAAGACCTCTTTGCTATCAGATGTTCGTCACGTCTTTGGTTTGTCCGTTACATTTTGTCACAACGGTGATTAAACAATATGACCAATGAGAACACGGCAATTCCACAATCGATTGCTTTCGGGAATTCGGAATAGTAATAATATGCTTATATGCGTAATGCGATTTCTTTTTCCGTGTTCTTAAAATATATACGTTTGGTGTTAAACTTGCTTACTTTACTTGCAACTGCCGATTACCCTAGCGGCTACACCAGACGGCATATTATAAATTTAATACAAGTTCGAAAACCCACATAAGTAAACTCACGTAGTCTTCGTAGTAATTATTTATCTTGACTGTGATATTTTTAGTCATACGGTTCATAATACTGTTTGTTTTTCTTTTGGAAACCAAACTCAACCGTCGTCCATCTCGCGCACCGTATATTGCGTTATTGTTCCGCAGCTCGTAAGTTATATATTATTATTAAACAATGGCCCAAAACGTCAATCCAAGACTCGAGGGTAGTTCTTCAAACTCTCCGAAACGGAGTGAAGATATGAATGACAGAATAGAATCAAATAAAGTCGTTCAAAGGTAATATCAATGATATTGAAAATGAGTAGTAGTTGACGTGTTACACATATTTTGATTTGGTCTCTATTAATGATTATTATGTTTTTGTTTTAGATTGCAAAAAGAATTAATGAGTTTGATGGTAAGTTCTACAACTTATGTTCTTTATTATTATTTTTTGTTTGCCATGTGCCTAATATATAACAACTTTACTAGAAATCAAAAATGTAATCTTAAGCTTAATATAGGTGTAGTTGTATATTGTGATTTATTATATCAGTACCTATTGTGTACATATTTTAAAGATAGAAAATTTTAAGAAACAATATCTGTCCTGGAATAAGAATGGCCTGGGATTCGGATTAAAGAGTTTTTGATGTTTTAAAAATTATTTTAACTGGTCAAATTTAACAATTGTGGCATTCCTTAAATAGCCATAATTCATATAAAATATAACAAAGCTAAATTGATGAAATGTACCAATTAATAGAGACAAGTAATTTATTTGTGTATTTAATAAAAAACTACCCATTTAAGAGACATGAAATTGATACTTCATAATTTGGGATAAAACTGTATCTTTAGTATTTGTACTGTGACACTTGTTGTTACTCGTATCCCATGTTAAACGAGTTGCACAGAATCCCTTTTCCCTCAGCTTATAGAAAATTAGACTATTAGTGTTTCATAACTATGCTTTATTGTATTCTGTGTTTTAAGTACATAGAGAAATACCTAATTAATGGTATCAAAATATAAAATACATATATTAATACATTCAATTCTATATGACACCGAGTTTTGAACAGTTATTTAATTCACTTTACTCATCGTGAATTTTAAAGAATAGAACCTACTCTTTCAACTTAATTGCCTCATCAAATTATTCCCGATTTTTTTTCAATAAATATGAGTGTACCATACACTAATATTTATAAGATTTGCTTGTTTAATCATTTCAGTATAATACAGTATATCTTATCTATTAGAAACTAATACTAAAATATATTTGGTTTATGACTTGTTAATTGTTATTGTGTTAGTGAATTATTTTATTTATGATGTATATTTTGGAGTTTCCCTAGTTCTTATATAAAACTATCTAATTAGTAATTACTATATCTATATTTGGGTGTATTAAATATTTATATTGTTGATTGTTAGAAAAAATCAATTATTATTTTACATAATTTATTTTACAATAATTATTCAGAATTATTCAGGAAAAAAAATTATTTTCATGTTTTACTGTTTTAGATGTCATGTGATGGATCAGTATCAGCTTTTCCAGATGGTGATAATCTCTTTAGATGGGTTGCCACAATAGTTGGACCTAAAGACACTGTACGTTTTTATTCATTATTAAATATGTATAGAAAAATAACTTTCAGTGTAATGTATCAATTTTTTTTTAGGTATATGAAAATTTAAAATATAAATTAAGTATGGAATTTCCGCGTGGCTATCCATATAAACCACCAACTGTTACTTTCTTAACTCCTTGTTTTCACCCCAATGTGGATTTTGCAAGTGGTTCCATATGCTTGGATATTTTAAAAGACAAATGGTCTGCTATGTATGATGTCAAAGCAATACTTATATCATTACAATCTCTTCTTGGAGGTAAATATATTTTGTTCATAAAATACCCAATGTTTGTTTTGCATATAATGTAGTATAAAGTAGAGTCCCAAGTATAATATGATGCCATACATAATAAAAAAACAATTAGAAATTATTGGTATTGGCGCATTAATTATAGGAATAAAATCTATTTAAAATGTCTTTACCCTATCATAATATGTATTTATCAATGTTGGTAAGGTTTAATTAATAATGTTTTAAAATGCCAAAGGATTATATCAATATATATTTTATTTCTTTGTGTAAACTAAAATGTAAGAAACTCAAATATTTACCCCTCGATATTTTTAACTATTATAATTTATAGAGTAAAGGTAGTTGTATTTTATTGTGGATCTTTTCAAATAACCGAGCCCTTCTTTTTGAAACTAATTTCTAACTTTTATTTTAAATGCTTATAACTTTTACAGAGCCAAATAACGAAAGTCCT